ACACACATAAATCTTCTATTGCACTTGGATTATTTTATCACATTATGTGGATTTTTTCCTATTGATCATGTATCAGTTGTTCAAGATATACACCATATTAACCAGGTAGCATTGACTTTCTTTTCTAGTGGATTAGGTTGTTCTTGTTATAAGGTATGAATGAAACATTGTTGCAGTTTCCTAGGTACAAAATCTTTATCTATAAAAGTCTCCTCATTAAATAAATAAATAAATGAATAAATAAATAAATAAATAAAAGTCTCCTCATTTAGTGACTCATTTTGTAGATTTTTCATTGAATATCTAAATGTTTATAACTTATTATAATTCTTCCATTCACCTAATCTTAGGTCATCCAAAAACCAGAGCTTTTATAACTCATGGTGGAGCCAGTGGTGTTTATGAGGCAATCTGCCAGGGAATCCCTATGGTGGGCATTCCTTTGTTTGCAGAGCAGCATGATAACATTGCTCAAATGGAAGCTAAAGGAGTAGCTGTTAAACTGGAATTCAAATCAATAACAAATAAAGTTGTGCTCAATGCACTGAAGACAGTCATTCAGAATGCTACGTGAGTACACACTTTTCAAAAAGTCTTTGTAGTATGTATTGATAACTTCTTACACGAAGCCCAAGGAAATACTAATGAGTCTGAGAAGAACATAGAGAAATACAAGTTAGTTTAATGATAAAGCCATCCTTGATAACTGACATTATTGCAATAAATTTATTTCATTGTTTTTATTGAAAACTTTTTGCAGGGTTTAAGCAAACTTCAAAGTTTTGAAATAAATTTGGGTTTAGTGAAACACACCTCTAATCCATGCACTAGGAGGCTGAGGCAGGAGGACTGTTATGAGTTTAGGACCAGCCTGAGCTAGAAATTGAATTCAAGGCCAGCATGCACTGCATAGTAAAACTCTTTTTCAAAAAGACAAGAAGCATAAAACAACTAACCAAGCAAACATTTGAAATAGCCAGGAAATGGAAAGAGATGAATCACTGAGCATAGAAACAGAGGGATGAGAAGGAAACTCGAATGAAGCAATGAAGCAGGAAACATGAATTTTGTAAGGTTTCTCAGATTTATCTCTTCATTCAAAAAAGTAATATCAGGGGCTGGGGAGATGGCTCAGTAGGATAAGCGCTTGACTGGCAAACGCAAGGATCTGAGTTCAATTCCTGGTTCTG